CCCAAAAATTAATGAAAATGTGACTATGAAAAAATGTAATGAATATAACTAAAAATAGAAATGCTGACTATAATAATAACTAAAATTTTCATAATTTCATTTTTTAAGGCTTATCAGAATCCATTGTGTATATGTTTATGCCCACATGAGATAAATATAGACTACTGCCACACTTAAGTCAATGTTGCACTAAATTTTCCCCTTCCTCTTCTTGGGAGATCCACATGCCCATGCCCTCTGAGATCCCAGGGCTGACAAAACCAACATAATACCTTCTATTTCGGTTTTGCACAGTTGATGACATCCAGGAAAAAATGACTTAGAAAGGCATGAATTTTTATAGGCTTTTTCTTTACCATATTTGGAACTCACATGCCACAGGTGAGTCCTGCCCGAGGTCTCTGCCAGCTTTTCACAAGCTGTCCTGCGCACAGTTCCCAGCTCCAGTTCAAAATGGCAAGGCTCTGCCCCTTTAACCCAGTGCACTCATCATTTCTCAGTGTTGGTCTCCCACCCCTGTTCAGTTTTTCAGAGGATGCCTACCCAACAGCCAGTTAAAAGGGGAGTCATTTATTGATTAGCATGCCATAGAAAAATCTCTCAGTGCTGAAGCTCAAGGGAATAGTGTTGATGATAAAGGGAAAAACAGCAGAATTCATAATGACAGATTGGAACAGATGGAGGTCAGAGTCACCTTGATACAACTTTTATTTTCGCTATATATAGTAATTGTTTATATTATACAGTTGGAGTTATTTTATTATCTCTCTGTTCTTCATTCAGGTTCAGAGAAAGGCCCTGGATGTTTTGCAGCTGTGGAGGTAATGGTAGTAACTGGTAGAAATACCAAGCCAGGGACAAATGTCAAAGTAAGCACACATTGATGTCAGAACTGACCTCAAGCAAGAAGATATTTCTTCTGCTACTTTATATGTACCATATCTTCATTTTTCATTCATCAGTTGATGGATATGTAGGTTGTTTCCAATTTATGGTTATTATGAAAAGATCTGCAATGAATATGGATTACCATCACTCAGGCAGCTGAGATGAACTACAAACTTATATAAACCTGAATAAATAGTAGGAAACATGGCACCAAAAACTAAGGCATCCTACAGCTTAGGTATAATTAAGTTGTTGGAAGTACCCTGGGCTGTTCTGACAAGAAAACAATTCTCAATTTATCTGCATAGATAATTTTACATGGTCAGGAAACGTTACATTATTTTTATGCTATTTCCAATTGAAGTGGCTGTAAGGTCATTATAGGTGAAGTTTATTAAAATACTTGGAACAAATTCAAATGGAGAAATCTCTCCTGAACAAATTTCTTCCCTTCAAAAAAATTCCCTGAAGAAAATATTTAGATATTGCAAAGAGGTAATAGTTAACTGTCAAATTAAATAAAATGTTATAATTTGAGGGGGAGAAATTCCGATATGAGATCATTCATAAATTAACAGTTGAGCAGATTATGAAATACGTATGTAAGACAAGTGGTTGGCAAACAAGACCGAAGGAGAAAGCTTCCCAGTCCCTTTACCCAGCCACATGCTAGTCTCTCTGATAGAAGAGAGACTCCGTCGGAGAAGTTTGACCAGGAAAAAGAACTTGTATTTACAGAGTAGTTGTAGATGACATTATAATTCCTAAATTATAATTCAGTAAAGTCAATGTTATTTTGACACTTTTAATGGGAATGAAGCCTTTTAACTGAGGTCTGAATTTCTGTGAAATGTACATATAATTTCATTTCGCTCATTCAATCTCAACATCAGACACTAGATTGTAATTTGATGTTTGTAGAAAATGTGAGGAGGATACTCTGCAAGTTGTTAAGGGAGAAATTTAATAAATGGTCCAACCCAGTTCTAAAGTCTAATAACCACAGTAATTGGCATGGGAAACTCTGTATTGGTACAGTAGTGGTACTTTTATCTAGGGAGTAATCAACAGCTATCTCATTAATCTTAAAGCTCTCTCAGTGGGAGGGAACTCATGGGCAACATTTTAAACATAGCCAAATGTACATGGCTGTAGAGGACATAGTCCCTAGAGTAAGTCATATCTCTGTCATATCTCTAGACCAGTGAAATTTCTTTCTGTTTGCTAAATATAGATCCTTAAATTTATAGACAAGTATATCATACATCGTTCATCAAAGAAACTCCGTGTTTCAGTAGATGGAGGCTATTACAGATTTTCACAACTGGTCACACATGGAACATCCTCCAACTCTCAACAGCAAAGCTTCCTCATACAAGAGAGTGTGATATGCACAGAATGCCACAACTGGTTAATATTTAGAGGACCAGAGACTGTAGAGTTTGTATCCCTGGATAGGACTTCTATACTAAAGCTCACCCACCCACAGTTCAGGGACCATTGAGAAAGAGGGGGAAGAAAGATTGTAAGAGCCAGGGCTGGTGCATGAACTTAAGCAAATAGAGGCTTTCTGGCCTCTGAGAACTTGTTCATGAACTTGAAACAATTCTGACAACATGCACAAGATGTTGCTAATTCTTTCAATCAAAAACTCAGCATAGACCAGGGAAATGGGCAACAGGCCCCAATCCTAGCCAAGGAGCTACTGACAAATGTCTACTGTGGGGTGAGGGAGACTAGATCTTCAAGTGACTGACTCTAGATAGGATGATTAGACTCCAGTAGATGAACTTGCAGCAAGGGACATCTAAGTACAAATACTTGACCAGATAGGACTTAACATACATGACGGAATACCTGAAATCTAGTGTGTGGAGGACTATGTGGGGAGGGAAAAAGGAGTTGAAATTTGATTAAGATGTGTTATATGAAACCCACAAAACCTCAATAAAAATCAGGAAAAAAGAATATAAACAAGTTTTCTCTAATAAATAAAGATCATCAATGCAACAAAGTAGTTTTTCTATATATGAATAATAAAACTTACCAAAAATAAATTATCAAATAAATATCATTCAAAGTATACCTTTTAAGCAAAAGCATACACTAGAATAAAAGACAGACTTTTCACTGTATGGTCCCCTAAATTTGATATCCACAATTATGAAATTTGAAACAGAGCACAAAAAAACTTTCTTTGTTGTTTTTTTAATTCAGAGTAATGGTGATGAAATTGACCTTGAATCCTCCTCCCTGAAGGCTCTCTCTCATAGTTTTAGAGGTTACTATGACAAGTCGTTAAGAAAGAAAACTAATAAATGGTCCAACCCAGTTCTAAAATCTAATCACTACAGTAACTGGCATGGCAAACTCTGTATTGGTACAGTAGTGATACTTTTATCTAGCAGGTAATCAACAGATATCTCATTAGTCTTAAAGCCCTCTCAGTGGGAAGGACACTCTAAACATAGCCATATGTGCATCCCTGGAGAGAGCATAGAGCCTAGAGTAAGTCATATCTCTGTCATATCTCTAGACAGATGAAATTTATTTCTGTATGCTAAATATGGATCTTTAAATTTACAGACAAGTGTACCATGCATCATTCATCCAAGAAAGTTATTTGTGCAACAGACAGAGGCTATTACAAATTTTCACAACTTGTCACATCGAGAACATAGGTCTGAGAGATGCACAGTCCTATGTGACAGATCTACTGTAGAAACTCTATGCCTAAGGCTTATGGGACATAGCAAAACGGAGTGGAGAGAATACTAAAACATCCCTCAAGTCTCACAAGCAAAGCATCTTCATACAACAGAAAATGATGCACACAGAGGGCCACAACTGGCCAAGGTGTAGCAAAAAGGAGACTTCAGAGTGTATGTCCTTGGGTAGGGCTCCTATATTATACCTTACTCATCTGAGGCTCGGGAACATTGTGGAAGAGTAGGCAGAAAGTTTGTTAGAGCTTGGTTTGTTGCATGAATATAAGGAAACAGAGAATTTCAGGTCTATTGGAAATTGCTCATATGAACTTGCAACAATGGTGACAGCATGGATAAGACCCATTCTGATTAATTTAGAGAAAAAACCAGCATAGAACTGGGGAAAGTGGCATCAGGCCCCAACCTTAGCTAAGGGTGTGGAAGAGTTGAGTTTTGGTAAAGGGATGACTCTTTATAGGTTGACTATATTCAGTGGATGAATGTGCACAGAGGGATATCTATGAATTCTTGACCAGATAGACCTTAAAATACATGACAGAATGCATGATATCTTTTGGCAGGGGATTAATGGGAGAGCCAGTGGAGAAGGGGACCTAAATTTGAACAAGATCTATTATATAAAATGCAGAAAAACTCAAAAAAGTACATAAAATTTAAAAATGAACTAAGCTTTTTTAAAAAATACATAATTCAAATTCTGAAATTTCTTGGAAAAAAATAAAGAAAACCATCCATAATACAAGATAATTAATTGTGGCCTGAAAACTACTCCTGTAGCACAAGAAATAACTTCAGAAACTGTCAAATGGAATTATGTGAAATTAAAATCTCCTTTCTGTAAGAAAACTATAAGCAGAGTGAAGATATCATATATAAAAATGGGAAAAAATCTTTGTCAACTATATTCTTCAGATATGGTTAATATCTAGAATAAATGAGGAAGTGCAAACATTGAAAATACAAAATACAAAACTTAAAATAAAAAAAATGGGAAAATGAATAGAAGAGATAGTTCTCAAAAGAAGAAAAGCAAATGGCCAGTAAATTTGTTTATTCAGCCATAAAGAGAATTGAAATCATGACATATACAGGAAAAGAGACAGAGAAAAAACACCTGACAATATATTTTTAAGACATGCCCAGTCCTAGGAGACATATCTACAGTTGAACCTCTGCACCTAAGACTCATGGAACATAGCAGAACAGGGGTAGAGAGAACAGTAGTGCATCACTCAACTCTTACCAACAAAGCTTTAATTCTATTTGATGGTGCTATATATAGAAGAGTGTCCTTATGGGATACCACTGTAGATGTAATTATCTTTTCTTACAGTTATATCTAATTGATTATGTAAAGTTGGTAACATTTCAGCAAGAATATATTCAGTTAGCACGTAACAATTTACACCAGAGTTTTTCCATAGACTTCTTCATCTCTGAATTTCTCAAGGTGTATATCAAGGGATTCAACATAGGAGTAATAACTGTATAAAAAACAGTAATGCATTTATCAATGGGGAAGTTGTAAACAGGTCTTGCATACATGAAAATGCAAGGAACAAAGAACAGGACAACTACCAATATGTGTGAGATACAGGTGGACAGGGCTTTACGCCTTGCTTCCTGACTATGAGTCTTAAGAGAGTTTAGAATTATTCCATAGGAAACAATGAGAAGGCTAAAGATCACAATACACATGGCCCCACCATTGGCAATGACAGTTATACCAATGAAGTAGGTATCTGTGCATGCAAGTTCCAGTAATGGGGCCATGTCACAGATGAAGTGATCAATTACATTAGGGCCACAGAAAGGAAGGTTGTAAACAAACATAATTTGAATCAGAGAGTGTGTGAAACCTCCAACCCAGGCCACACCAAAAAAGGTAAGACAAACCGTTCTGTTCATAATAGTCAAATAGTGCAGTGGCTTACAGATTGCCAGATAGCGATCATAGGCCATGGCCACCAGAATAACTATATCAACACCGCCAAATAAATGCTCTATGAAGAGTTGGCTCATGCAAGCTGTGAAGGAGATGGTCTTTTTATCCCTTAGCAAGTCTATAATCAACCTGGGTGAGATGGCAGTGGAATAAAGAGTATCCATGAGTGACAGACATGCCAGGAAGAAGTACATCGGGGAGTCCAAAGAAGGACTCATAATAACTGTCACCACAATGAGAAGGTTGCCCATCATTGTCATAAAGTATATGAGTGAAAATATGACGAATAATGCTTTTTGCCCAGTAGGATCCTGAGTGAGGCCCAATAGGACAAATTCTGTGACATTGTTGCTCTGGCCCATTGAAACTCTTGTCTCAGAGAAGACAGTTCATGAGAGTAGGTCCTGTCCTGAAGTTGTGAACATAGCCATGAGTCCATGTGACATGAAGCAGATCTTCAACACTGTCTTCTACAATGATCAACCTGAAGTTGAATTTTAGTAAATAATTCTTGAATTCTTCTAAGAATAGAGAGACTTACTGTTGATTATTTAATTTTCCTCATGATGATTTTATCAAACTTACAAGTTATAGATGCATCTCAAGACTTCAGTCCTTTTCTATTTCATAATCATTTAGACAAAATTTTAAAACACATTGTGTCATGATAGTGTCAACAATGACAATTAGGCAGAGGTATCTTCTCAGAAATATACTCTCTATAGTGCCAATAAACTATCAATATCTCAATTTCTATAGAAACAATATTTTGCTGGGCGTGGTGGCACACGCCTTTAAACCCAGCACTTGGGAGGCAGAGGCAGGTGGATCTCTGTGAGATCAAGGCCATCCTGGTCTACATGCTGAGTTCCAGGGCAGCTGGGGCTACAGAGAGACCTTGTCTCAAAAAGACAAAAAAAAGATAGAAACAGTATTTGAAACTGAATGTATTTGTGGTAATATGTTCAAAATATACCTTACTCTCTAGGAGAATTGAGCTTATTGCTACGACAGTGCACAACTAGACATTTGACCTACACATCTCAAAGGACTTAGCCTTCAGCAACTGTCTTTAAATTCTAGGACACTTAATTTCAAACTACATTACATAGTTACAAATGCATTTAAGACATTTCTATCTTCAGCAATTATTTCAAGTAGTAGCCCATGTGAAATATTTCAATGACCACAATACAATTCTGACCATCTATTGTATTCTGGTTTTTATGGAGTTCATACAACTTACATTCGCTATCATTTTTCTGAGAAAACATGATTTTTGCAAGTATCTACTAATCCATGACTATTATCAACTGCTTCATCAGTGGTTACTATTTCAGGAACTCTTAAATGACCTAGGTAGTTAGGAGAAAATAGAAACTGAAAATTGAAGTAGAGAACAATCAATATTGGTGGTATATATACTTTTCCATGGTAGGAAAATTCCATCAGAAATTCAGTGTCCACATCCCCAAAAGCAGCACTATAATGGTCAAAATCCATATGCAACATGAGAAGGCTTTGGTCTGGTACCTTTTCTAAATTAATTACAAATATGTCACACTGTACACATGAATAATAAAATGATTGAGGTAATTTCACAATCTTTTTACAGTCAATCACGTACAAGATAGTGCAGCCCACCTGTTCCTAATTGGTGATAACGTCTTTTCTTTTTAATCACTGCATGGTCATTAAAAATATTCAGTCTTCAACAGACATTGCTGTAGCTCACAGGGTTCACTACTGGGCAAAGTTGATTCATTTCATTTCCAGTAGTTTGCATAGCACCTTCCAGCACTATGAAAGCCAGCCAGTAAAGATGAAGATTTATGGCCAGTGTCAGTTTGATTTCTTTCTGTTTGTCTATGAATCAAGTATATGGTGTCAACAATAGGCTCTTCCCATCAGCACATTGACCACTCATGGATCTCTTTGTTTATTTTTCATCTGCTGCAAGAAGAAACATTTCTAGTGATTGCCAAAAAATGCAGTAATTCATGAGTATAAAAATAGATATTTAGAAGTCAGATTAATAGTATGTGGATTTATCAGAATTGTAGAACTGGGTTCTCCCCTACAGTTGTGGCCCTGATAATAGCAAAGATATGGGCTGATTTAAATCTAATCATAAAGTGGTTGATTACTCCCATAACATCAGTGCCACTATTACACCATTGGACATATTTTGCCAGGCCTTTAAAATGGGAAAAAGGAATAATTCAAAAGGAAGGATTAAATGAGGTGGTAAATGGGAGAGCACGGTGCAGGATAGCCTGTAAAGAAAGGTAACTAATGGTAAAAGCTTTTTGAAAGTCAAATGGAAACCTTTTAGGAGGTGGAAATTTCTTAAAATACATACAAATCCAATAAAGAAAGAATTTAAATTGTGTTACCCTATAACAGAGGGAAAATACTCTTACCAGACACCACAGGCTAGCAAGTAAAGAGCCAAATGCCAAAGTTGCCTCCCTCTTTTGTAGCTGTTGAACATAGGGTTCCTATAGACCCTCAAACAATATTGGCTATTACCACTTATATTGGTTGCCACTTCTGAGAGATGTAGAATCAATTTTCTTTGAGGGTTTGACACTGAGTATAATGAACAGATTCCAGGAGATGGATCCATACCCCAAAGTATTTTGGAACAAAAATTAGACTTTATAGGCCTTAGAAATAATAACAATAGAGGACATGAAGTCAATAGGTAGGAAATTGGAGTGTAGGTGGGTGAGGTAGTTCTGCATATAGGTAAAATACATACTATGAAATTCTCAAACAATCAGTAAAAATATTTTTTAACTTTTCTACCTTATTACTGTTTCTATAAAAAGACTAACCACTGTTAAATTGGACATAATACCTGCAGTGATCAAAAATGGCTCTAATTTTCTCATTGAATTTTAAATAAACCTCCCTGCATTGTCACTTCGTCATTTCTACCAATGGAACATCTACTCTCTCTTGTCACTTTGTTTTTGTTATTGCTACCTGCAGAGCACTGCTCAGAGTCTAGTAAATATAAATGCGAACCTGCTAGTACTGCTTTGTTTGTTTCACTGCTATGAAAGTCAATAATTCATTATAATGTTGTCAAAATAATCGTTGCCTTTAGTACATGGTATAATGCTGTGTCTTTAGACACACATAAGTACAATAAGTACTTGCCTATAAAGGAATATATTTTTGTTTATAAGCAAGCAAGTACATTCTGTTTGCATGGATTTAGTAGTGGAAGGGGACATGTGAAGTTGTCTTTAGAAACCAGTCCTGATGCTCCTTCTTTGTGAATCATTGTCATTACTGCCAGCACCTGGTTCAGCATATCTGCACTCTTAGAAGCCACAGATTGATAACAGCACACCTATTCAATGACATAAGAGTAAAAGTATTCCATTTCCAATGCCCATTATTTCATATCTTACTTTCTACAGTATTTTGAACCTTCACTTTCATTAACTACCAGTGCTTTATATTATCAACTCAAATCTAATATTACCCATTTTAATTTTACATCCTTAAGTTATATCATAATTTTTTCCAATATGGAGTACTATTAAACTGTATAAGGGTATGATTATGCTTTTAACATTTGCCATGGATAATATTCTAAAATAATGTAATACATTTTAAGGCACAGTAAACCTTATTTGCTTTGATTTATAGAAACTTTCCCAAAACCAAGTTTTTACATAAAGACCTAGATACTCAGACAAGGAAATTTAAAGGATAGTAGTCTAATATCTTCTCTAAACATTTTTGAATCTGTGGTTTTACAGTCCCATATCATATAATTATCAATTCAACATACTTACCTATGATATCCCCATGTTATACCTATTCTACTTAAGATTTTCCTTTCAAAATTCCTACGTGTTTCCTATCCATCATTTATTTTGCTGTATCTTCCCTCATCATCTTTTAAAGTGGAATTCCTCCTCTGGCAATTTTTAAGTGGTCTTACACAAACATCTTATCCTGAGATTTTTGTAGCTCTCAACCACAAACGGGACATCTATATCACACCTCTCCTTAAAGTAAGGGGCCATCCCAGAAGAGCCCTTGGAAATATCACAAGTGCCAGAGGACAGGGAAGACCAGAGAAAAACCAAGCCTTCTGGATATGACAGGACAAGCCGTATGGTAGCCTGAATAAGACTAAGCCAGTCAGCATTCTAACTCCCAACCCTAACTGAACAGCTGTAGAAAGTTGATGACTTCTGGGGGAGGAAAAGTCAGATTTTTAAGGCTGCTGTTTCTGGTACATCAACCACACTTTAGTGGATGGTCCTTCACCCAGAAGTATATGACAGTACAAACTGGACTCCCTGTGTTATTAAAGAAGATAGGATGTTTAAGGACAGGGGAGAGTGGGACATCTGTCAGGATGAATATGACCAAAATATAATATTAAATTCTCAAAGTGAAAACATTTATTAAAGATAATTTAGAAGCTAATACTAATTTTAGTACAGTTTTTAAAATCATGAAAGGTGTTTTGACATAATTTTTTAATCTAAGTGACAGCAAAGGAGAGACTTTGATCTTTGATTTGTGTGTGTGTGCGTGTTTCTTTGTGTGCGTACACTGCCAAATTAGATCATGCCAATTTAAGATTCACACGTAAAAGCTCATATTAAATCTCAAGAACATGCAACCTGTGTTCTTTTACATCTTAACTCATGGTATATATAATTTTTAAATTTCTAAACCCAATTTATCCAAAATAATATCTCTGTTGAATATCACATAAAATATGTTCTATAATATATATCCTATAAGACCAAGTAAAATTTGTTTATTTTAATTGTTATAAATGTAACATAAAATGCTTTTGTATGCCAATAAGGAAAATTAGCACCAATCAGGTTATTATAATAAAACCACATATGCTATGCATGTTCTAATCAATTCTGCTGTTACCTTAGTTTGATATATTCACATGTTCCTCATAAAGCCAGGTGAACTGTATAAAGTGAATTTATTTTAAGATATAAGAAGAAAACAAACCAGTATCTTTAGACCATTATTTCAAGAACTCACACCCTGGATTTGTTCTTTATGAGAAGTATCATTGTCTCTTTTATTAAGAATGACTAGTATATAAAGACATGAATATACTTATAAACCAGATGTAAATGCACTTGAATGTAATACCAGTAATTACTGTGTAAAGGTGCTTGAATAATCTTAGTGCCATGAAATACCAAATAAAATTTAAAGTTGTTGTATGTGAGCAACTATGTATAAAATTGAGTGAATTAGTGAAGCTAATTGTTCAAAACCATGTTTAGTGTAACAAAGAAACAGGAGAAAAAAATCATTAAAGATAGTTCCATGAATTCATCTCCTGTTGGTCTAA